GTCACTTTGATTTTACCTGTTTCTGTTACATCACTCACAACGGATGAATTGTTAACGACTGCAAACAGCATTTTACCTCATACAGAGCATACTAGAAGGAGGAGGGCATCTGAAAATGCATGGAGTGGAGATGACCCTACTTATATTGATAGCATTGGTGTACCAAGAGGTGTTCCTGATGAGTATAAACTAGCCAATCAAGTTTCTGCAGGATTTGAATCTTTTTTATGCTGGTGGTGTACTCTAAATAAAATGTAGACAGAATCAACTACATCCATTATAACGTCCAGAGGCTGGGAAATAAAACAGAACAAGGCTTCTCCGCCGTCCATGAACAATTGTCAGCTACCTCTCTAATGGCTTTCCAGAACCGTATTGCTGTTGACATGTTGTTAGCTGAAAAAGGTGGTGTGTGCTCTATTTTTGGAGATCAGTGTTGCACCTTTATTCCCAACAACACCGCTGCAGATGGCAGCCTCACAAAGGCCCTTGAAGGCCTTCGCTCTCTTAACAGCAAAATGAAAGACCATTCTGGAGTTGACACAAAAATGTGGGATGGATTTGGAGACATTTTTGGTAAATACAAACAATTGGTGCTTTCTATTTTAATGTCTATAGCTGTATTTGCCGCCATCTTGACCTTATGTGGATGTTGTTGTATTCCATGTATTAGAGCGCTGCTAAATAGACTGATTACCACAGCAATACAACCCATGAAAGCAGAAATGTATGCCCTCATGCCCACTGAAAAATACCCATCTGATGATGAAGACAGCGCAGAGGATGAAATCTCTTTGCATTTTCCTGACTTTTATCCTAATTCCAATGATATTACCAGTAACCCACCAGTTTAAAGTACCTCTGAGTGTACCCTTTAACAGCTAAAACATGATTTCATAGTTGAAAATCTGAAAAGAAGTGACTACTGAATGATAAAATAAATAGCTTAAAGTGAATAAACAGGGGGGAAATGTTGGATTAATTGTACAAGTTATTCTACTTTAATCATATCATACTTATACATTCATATTTACACATTTGCATATTCCTGTATACTTGTATTACACAAAGTGTTGAAATGTTTCACTTGCTGTCTTTCTAATGCTTGTTATTAGTGTGTGCAGATGGAGTGCTGGCTGCTCAAGGTCAGCAAGGAGAAAACACGGGGAAATGCACTCACTAACACCGGAGAAAGGAGTGAAAGCTCTTATCTCATGATATTGTATGATGTGATGCAGAACTTCTGGTACCGACTGGGTTTCACCCCCTCCCTTCTGGTTCCGACTGGCTTCACCCTTCCCCCTCCCCTTAGCAGTCGGAACCACATTGTAGCCAGGGCGTTTCCTTAATAAAAAGCTTGGTAGAGCGGAGACTTTTTCAGAGTGGTTTTGGAGAATTGTAACTGAACAGTCTCTGATCACTCTCCTTGCAAGTAAATCATACTAAAATTCTCTGTGTTTTCCTTTGTACAGGTTACTGCATAAAATGTTTGGTGTTTAGACCTAACAGGTTCCCATGTGGATTTCCCCTGTTGTTTCCCTGCAGTGAGCAGGAAGCTCAAATCCAACCATCTCCCTTTCCCCGCACAGACCCCAGTGAATCAGTCCCCTGCCTGAACTGTGATTCTTGTGCTTGTGACTTTAATAAACTCTTTGGACTTTTACCAGTGCCTCCGTGTGTGTTCTGCATCTTGGGCTTACTCTCTGTGACACCCATCATGACATAGAGAAATAAAAATTGTCGAAAAAAAGCCCTCAAAACTACACACACAGGATATTTTAGGATTTCATTCTAAGTCACTGTAAATTTATATTGAAAGCAATTGGCTGACAAATTTCAACAGTAAGGAACTAGAACTGGTGGTTTGTCTTGAACTGAAGTCAGAATGGGTTTTAAGTTCATGGTGAGCTGGCATGCTTGCGTGTAACACTGCAATCATCCAAACCCTCGCAAACCCTCTGCTGGCTTTAGCAACATTCAACATAACATCCAACAATTGGAATCAATTAAAAAGAATTGTAAGAATTTAAATGTTAACCTCAGTTAGTCACAAGAGCAAGGACCTGACAGATAAAGAGAGAAAATGGAGAAGAGTAAATAAAAAAGGAAAGATGGGAATGAAGACATTTAGTCATTGAGATTTAAAGAGTTTTACTCACGCAGGCCTTGTATTTCTGCCTCACGGCCACTGCACTTCCTATGCTACTGTAAACCCAGACAGTGCTGGGCCTTTGATCCAACAACAGCAGGCAGCCATTTAGCCTATAAAACCAAACTACCTGCAATCACACATACAACTAAGTGCAGGAATGTGTGCACCAACATAATATAACATTCAGGCACGAGTCTTTTCTGATCATGGCCAAGAAATTAAGCTTAAGTTACAGTTCTTGGAATGCCAAATAATTCAACTAACATCGTAAAGCATAACAAATACAAAAGTTACTCTTTCATCCAGAATGTTATTAACCCTGGGAGAATGTCCTGAAAGAACTGAACAAAACATTAAGGGACAGGAGTACGGTTACATCTATAGTGGGATCATTTCAAAGTTTGGTGTTGATCACATAGAAAATCATTTTGATCTAAAACATGAAAAAAATGTCTTATTTTATTTCAGAGACTGGTTAAAAAGAAAATAATATGTTTTCATGAGGTTTATGAAAACATCTAATTTAAATCTTTAGTTATAGTAACATCAGCATTAAAGCTAGAATATTTTGCAGAACACTAGAAATAGTTACCGTAAACTGAAGTTTTTGCTAACTTTTATTAAACTTTGGACTTGTTTGGAATTGTAACTAAAACGAGACGTTCTGTCTTCATTTAATGAAGATTTGTTTGAATGGGTGGACTAGTTTTCATTTCTTCTATAGTGTGAGCCCTAAAGCTGCACATGTTGTATCACTTCATTACTCACAGCAACATGGACATTAGAGGTGTGTAACACAGCTGACGGCTGCCAGAAAGCCTGTAGGTGTTTTATGGAGATGGAGCCTAAACAATTAAAATCCTGAAAAGTAAAGGCTCTGTAAATTCACACATTATTTACTTTCTTTTACTATACTCATATCGTGACTGCTGGGTACATGATTAAGCTCAAATCACCAGATGTTTGGGGATTTGCCCTGTCACTGTGCCAAAACAGGTTCATTTCTGGTACAGATAGTCCAAAAGTTTAGGAGAGCACAATGCACTACTTCTTGAAGAATTTGTAAAGCCATGTTTATGATTTGGAAAAACCTAATAAAGCACAACTGACCAACTGTTATCTAAACTTCAGAAATGACTTTCATGTAGGCCACATATGTATAAGCTAAGCACTGTAGTTTTTTTTTTTTTTTTGTGATTGTGTAGAACATAGACAGGTGCTATTTCTATTCCTTAATAGTAATTATTGTCTTTTTTACCCTCCTGATTAGGAGAAGACGTGAAATGAGGGGAGCCAGATCATTGTTTTCACAGAAACTCCTTGAAGCCAACATCACTTATAGTGCCTTATCTTTAACATCTCAGTGTAAAAACAAAAATATTGCAGCTATGGGTACTTTCCAACACTTCTTTAGTGCACAGAAACAGATGAAAGGCAGATCATTCAACACTAAAACAAAGTGGTTTTAAGTGAGTCAGTTTTTCCTCTTAAAAGATATCCAACTCAATCATCCTTAATCATCTAACAGATAATTGGAGTAGCAGCAATACTCTGGGTGATCCTATGAAAGCCTTTTCAATCTCTCCAGTATCTATGATATTTGTTTGTTTTTTTATAAAAGGACTGGTGAAGTGGTGAAGTCTTTAGGCTAAGGGCACCTTCCCATGTAACACCACCAGCTCTACCTTGTTACAGCATTTATAGGTCAATTCTCACCAGGCGTCAGACAGTAAGGGATTTTATCTTTTTTATTTTATCTATTTTACCCAACTGGAATTTTGTTATAAACGAACACAGATTCCCCTATAAAGTAAAACCTGCAGGGACAAAATGTATTGTTTCATAAAATGTAGTTTAGCCTGACCTGCATTTTCCTGCAAGCCTGTCTGCAAGAAGGGGGTTGGGTTCAGGTTTAAAATTTCAGGCAAGAGCATTAATTTCATACGGTTCTGGAAATCACTGGGTCTGGCCTTTCTTGTTGCAATAATCTGCCTCAAGGGACTTAACCAGGTGCTACGGACCCCTGGACATGGCTGCAGGAGTTTCACAAACCACTTTAATGTGGGGAAACAAGCTTTTACATGTACTTTGTTAAAAAATGTTAGGTTTTATTTAAAACTCTTTGAATTGTGATGCAAGTGCAAGACGTCATGTGTTGTTTGGATTTTTAGCTAGTGTTTACTTTGCTAATGTACAAGACCAGACTATAAACGGTCCCTGTAGTGATAAAAACGTGAGCTGAACAAACCAAAGAGAAACACTATACATCAAAGAATCTGCTGCCGGACGTTTTAATGTATATATTCTCTCACTTTAAATACAAACACATAAAGCAAAAGATTTCATGACCTCTGGCAGTAAGAGGACTATTTCTAAGCAGTGATGCGTTCTGTTTTTCTCTCCTTGAATAAAAAAACCCTCCGGGCATATATTATTGCTTCCCACTACCATGCTTGATCAAAATGAGACATTTAAGACCTCTTTGAAGATTTCACTTGAGCCAGTAAACCCTCACCGGTGATTCAGTGTGCCAGGTAAAAGCACTACTAATCATGAGATCTAAACTAAAAGGAGATAAATTCTTTAAATCTTTGTCATTATAGTCCATATCCAAACTATCCTTTGAAAATTAGTGAGTAGGATCTGTGATATGCACAGAATAAAGCTTTTTAGGATGTTTTTAAGAGGTGTTGTGGCAAATACTCCAAGAATGAGTGTGCATGTTAGTGTTTTCTAAGCACTTTAGTGCTCATACCAAGCAAAGTGTGGTAATTTCAAGAGTTTATAGCTCCCTCTCATGTCTGGTGGGTGAGTGGCAGAGAGAGCCAGAGAGAGGGTGTTTCTCCACTACATCTCAGCCATTGACAGCTGACTGGTTGGGATCTAATTGCTCTGAAGTGAGGTCAGCAACAGGCATTTATCTAAGCAGGGTGCACAAAAGGAAGATGCAGAGAGTCAGCTTGCCAGAAACAGGGAAGTCTAGATGAGGACTGACAGCAGATCCTACCTCCTGCTTGGCCTTATTTCATCAATGAACTGGGGTTACCTTTTAAACTAGAGTCTCAGACCCAAAGAGCCTGGAGAAAGTGCCTTTGTCTGACAGCACTTAGAACACAGGTAAGTCATCAGCCTTTTCTTTTTAATCTACATCTGCTTAAAGAAGGAGAGATTATAGAGTTATAAAGCTATCTAGAATACTTTATCTTAACCTGTTGGATACATGACTGCAATCCCTATGTTAAATCATCGCGCTAAAACAATGACTTAGTACAAAGACATATTAGAAAAATATTTGCAATAATACATTTCAATTTTGTACAAATAATTGGAACTCAAGCATTTTATTTTTATTTGCACTTTTTATTCTATTTGCACTATTCCATATTTATTTGATAAAATATCTCCCAACTTAATCCTTTTTCTAGCGACGACCAGCACAACGGTCCCTTATCTGGATAATTACATAGCTTGTTGGACTATCATCTCAAGTGGATCAAGCAGTTGATGAGCTCTGGATGTGTGCAACAATACAACAACATCCACTTTCTGCAAGCTATTTTCTTCATGAAACTACTGACCTTTGAACCCAGCCCAGCCGTTAAAATTCTCCCTCCCGACTGTGCTGTTAAACATCCTGCCAGGAGTCCGTGGAACTAGGGCCTAAAGCTTACAAAGCAGGGGTCAGGAGGTTGCTGGATTGAGGAACAGCGCTCAGCTCTTGAGCTTGCTTTCAGCATGTTTTTCATTGATCCCCAAAGCATTGCATTATAATGCGCAAATGGATGCTGACCTGGAACCTTCAAAATCTGTTATCAGGACTCTACCTGCATGCAATCTTTCTGTTTGGCAGTGTGTGTGTGGTCTACAGTGACTGCACCCCCGAGCAACGTGCCGCCATCATGAACTGCTCTAAACATGAGCGCCACACAAGGAACTATGATTACATGGAGGGAGGAGATGTGCGTATTCGACAGCTGTTCAGCCGCACACAGTGGTTCCTCACGATTGATGACTCTGGCAACATTACAGGAACTCAGGATCCTACCAACTGCTACAGTAAGGATGTGGTTTTATTTTGATTGTTACGACTAAATGCAACCTCTTCTGTTTTTCACTTTTATAACCAACAAGTAAAAAGAGTAAGGTAATGTTTAAGGTCATTTTCTCTCAAATTGTATTTTGAAAGTTTGGTACTTTGGTTAGTGTGAGAGAAAGATGTACCAAATGTTCTTCAGATTTAGTATAAATCTTTTATTAGTGTTCTTTAGTTGCATGGAGTAACTCAAATGACAGAAGTAAAGTGAAGCAGGTGGGATCATTAACATGTTAAAGCCACATGATATAAAGCAGAAAGATACATTTAAACTAAAATGTATACTTGAATAAAATAACAATCATGAGCATATATTTCTTTTTCACTATTATAACTAAAAAGTAATAGTTAAACACTGTAAGTTGCTTAAATTAGTGCTGAGTAACTAAATTCTTTGGACGTTGATGTTTACGGATGTGACTCCGGTTAGGATGTTTAGCCTGGTTATCGTTTCATCCTATCTGACAGTGTGGCTGAAGGAAGAATGTTGGCTTTAAAAACTGTTTCCTCATGAAAAAGACATATTGTGCAAGAGCTGAAAATGAAAGACTGAAAATATGAAGCACCCACATGTGGCTCAGACTTGCACGCAAAGGGCACTTTTTTTTTTCCAATAATCCTTTGATACTAGACTCACATTATACAGTGTCATTTATTATAAGATTTACTGGATATTTAAGTAGCTTATTGGCTTCTTGTCTTGAAACAGAACAAAAACGATGTGATGAGGTTGTGCAATATATGTATCTTATCTTTCACTCTGCATAATATATTTGATTTATTTATCTTTGAAACTCTCTCTTTAATCTGTATATATATATATATATATATATATATATATATATATATATATATATATATATATATATATATATATATATATATATATATATATATAAACTTATGAAATATTACATCCCAAATATTAAAAGACTAATAAATATTATTAGTCTTTTAGCAGAACATATATAACAGTGTGTAAATCACTTATCTTAAGATAACTGCTATTTAGCGTTATAAGATGAAAAATGTTTTTTATATTTTAAAATGGTTAACAGCAGTCACTAAGTCTTTAAATGCAACAGAATAGGAATAGATAGCTGTTCTCAACAGGAAACATAAAAGAAAGAATTTTTTAAGATTTTCATGCTCTGAAAGAAGAACTTGGTTTTCAGTTATTCAATAAATGACTGTAATTCTAAAATACCTGGCCAATGGACAGGCAAGGCCACAGCACTGACATTATTTTTTTTGTTATCTAATAGTTTTTGTTTAGAAAGTGTACAATCTTTAATCTGGGTTGTTTATAAAGAGCTGAATCGCAAAGGAAAACCCCATGTAACCCTACAGCATATGTTAACATATCAAAGCTGTGCTTCTGTTTGTCTTAGAATATAGATTTGCTTTTAGTGTCAGTGACAAGAAAGAACTCTATTACATCCTGTTCTTTAAAGCCTACATGCTGTAATCTTAGTAAGTAAATGTAAACCTGAACTTCAACAATCTGCAGGGAGAAAGCAGAATTGGGGTTATGCCCACAAGATTGTTTGCCTCGCCATAGGCAGCAAGTGATGGAAATCTCTTTGAGCTGGTGATTGCCTTAGAGGCAGAGCCAACATTTTTTAAATATGTGTATGCATGCGTGTTTGAAAATGTGCTTCAACTTTTCCTGATGCACCTAACGACTGGAACTGATATAGAACATTAGCTAGCTAGAGGGTTAAATTACCAAATGTTAAGAGCAAATCATGCAGTTACGTTTTGTTTTAAACAAATGATTGACTGACTTTGAACTTAACAAGGATTCATGGTAAGCTATACCTTTAATCAAGGGCAGGGTTAGTATAATTGGAAGCAAAAAAGTCAAAGGTCAGAATTATGAAGACATATTAAAAAAGCAAGCAGAGCACAAACAACATTCCCAGATTGGGACGCCACCATCTGTTTGTGATCTTGAAAATGCTAGGATGCATGCATGCTTAATGTCACTCAAGAACTTCAGAAGGTTTTCCTTTTTTTCCTCTCTGTGCTTGTCAAATGAAAGAATTTTTCACACAGATTAATGAAAGTGACAGTAATGCTTTAGCTTTATCAAAAATATGTCATTTGGACCTTGTTGTTACTAAAATAAAAGATGTAAGTTTTGTAGTTTTTTATATCAAGTAGCCTATCAGGATAACAGAATTAAAGTCTAATTTCGTGGATAAACCCTTAGTTCAATCTTAGTTCAATCATGTAGTAGGTATATCATTTATTTTTAATTTATTTTAAACATTTATGTATTTCATTTTAAATTGATACTTTTTAAGCACAATCTTGGAAGTTTTTAGATTGATTGTACTTAATAATGATGGGGGGAAAAAATCTGTAGCTAATATTCTTAAATTCCCAAGCATAAAGTCTGTGCACGCATAAATATCTTACCTTCCCACACATTTGAAGAGCAGAGCTAAATTATAGCGTGCAAAGCACGTGTAAGGAGGCAGTTGTCTCAATTCCACTGGGAGAGAGGCTTAATCTGTCTCCCATATGTGCAATGGCATAGGTTGCGGTTTGTGTAATGACCACCCAGGCAAGTTAACAAGACTCGAACTAACCCAGAGAGACCACAGCCTGATTAATTGCAGGAATCTATATTGTTTGCTAATGAAGATGAATGTTCAGGTCAGTGTGGGGCTGGACTGAAAGATGGATGTAGACAGTTTCTTATCTAATTTTCCTTTCTGCCTGGCAGGTATCCTGGAGATCAGAACGGTTTCTGAGGGCCCCAAACTGGCCATCAAAACTATAAAGAGCCAGTATTATATATGTATGAACAAGAAAGGAAAGCTGCAAGCCAAGGTAATACTTTTGTTTCTGTGTTCATCTATTGGTTTTAGTCGATAACTAATTATGAAGTCACAAAGGAAGATGTACAGGACATTACAACAAAAGTTTTACATATTTTTCATTACAGAGGGCCTACAGTAAGAACTGCGACTTTACAGAGAGTTTCCTAGAGAACCACTACAATGCCTATTCCTCTGCAGAGTGGACTGCTAAAGAAATGTTCATAGCTTTGTCTCAGAGGGGAAGGCCAATGAAAGGGAATAGGACCAAGAAGTCACACAAGGCGTCTCACTTCATCCCAATGAAATGCTTGGACGAGGAGAGGAGAGTGGAGTGAACAAACTTTGTCGCCAACAGTTTGAATGAACTCATTAATATGTATATCAGATCAGACACCTGTAGTCTTCATTCTCTCGTTACCGGCATCACTCTCCATTGTTCTAATATACAGTAATATTAATAACTGATGATGTATCATAAACTACTACAATCTTCATCATGCAAGATACTGAGACTAGAAGCATGACAAAAGTTTTTTTTAAGTTTATATATATATATATATATATATATATAAACAGAAGTATTTTCTTACCAAACTATGAAATGATTTGCATACAGTACAGTCTGGACTGTATTATTTACCACCAAGCTGCCGGATGTGATATATTTAATAAAAACCAAAGTCAAAGGGGAAAGTTGGTTTGATCAAGAAGTGCAAAGGCAAGCTGGGCTTGTCTAGATCTTCCACTACCATATACATCCATGAAATTTGAATAAACAGAAGTAAGTAAAGCTAATGTGAATGATGTGTGTGTGTGAGACCCATTTGTCTTTTCTGCATTGACTGGTCAAATACACTGTAGCTGCTTGCTGATTCCCTTTTAATATCAAGATGTTATTTTGAAATGCTTTGCTGCTGCTGAACAGATATTGAGACATAAATACAGTAGAAAATAAATAGCAAAATATAGAACATTACATTTCTCAGATGTCTACACTTGTAGATATTTATCTGTAAAAGAATTACATTTACTTTCTTTGGAGACATCCCTATTATACTTAATTATGTTTGGAAATCTACTCACAACTTCAGTATCTGAAACTAATTTCACGAAGATTAGTTTGGAAATCTACTCACAACTTCAGTATCTGAAACTAATTTCACGAAGATTAGTAGAAGAGTTCTGGCAGCACTTGCAGGATTTTTCATGACTTGCTCTAATTCTTTTCCTTTCTGTTAGGCAGATATAGGCTTCTTTACTTAAAAACAAAAAAATTCCACTTGGATAATTTACGCTGAAGAGAAGCTTCACTTTTCAGGTTTTTTTCTCCACTAGAGGGTATAATAAACCTCTAAATTAAGTCATGTGGCCATGCTTTTAAAACGTCCTTAGTTAACTTGTCAACAAGACATCGGACTGAAACAGAAACACATAGCTATACATAATATGTTGCTTGGAACATCTTCTCCATTGCTTTTGCCCGATTGCCTGTGAACCTTATGAACCTGGCCTTTATCCTGCCATAAACAGAACTGAAATTAGGCCTAGAAGGCTCTAGGGGAACTTGAAGACAGAGGTGGTGTCGCTTATATACTGTGATAAAATTCATAATTATTTATTCTGTTTATTATCTAGAAAAATGTATTTATTCAAACCTTTTGCATGTTTGTACTAGCCACTGTGATATACCCATACTTATAAAAGAGGTCTGATCTGTTATTTGCTGTGATGTAAATCTTATAGCAAAAACTATTTTGGTAACCTAATGTACTCTAACTCATCAATTTGAATTATCCTCTTGAGAAAACCTATAGCAATACCGATGTATCACATTGAAATGCTTATTTTGTTTTTTTCAGATGATTACTTGCATGTTGCAAATAAATATTTGGGAAGATGTTTGTGTCCTTGGACAATCCTGAGAAAACAGCACAGAACAAGAGGATTACATGCATTTCACTTCAAGGGCATGAATATAAATATACTGAGGAAAACTCATCATCTTGGTTAAATTTTTCATTATATAAAGTAAAAGTGGAGTTATGTCAGTTTAGAAAGAAAATTGCAGACTGACAGGCACTTTGCCAACATACGCATTTAGTTACACAAGTGTGGATTCCCCCAAAAAAGCTCAGTGACACAGAAAACATGTTTTGCCAGGGTTCACATCTGGCTTGGAAAACCCCTGTCAGATAGAGACAGTGAAATTGAGAGAGCAAGCCTATGAAATACGATTGACCCAAACAACATCTGAGCAAGGTGAGGGTTTCTGCCAAGTCACGCAAAGTTAGTCTTAGCAGATAATTTGTAACATGCTCAAAACGTAAACACATTTCAGGCTCAAGGCCGTGTATTCCCAGTAGAACGACATGGGGCTGGAACCAACCAACAACGGAGTGAACCCTCAGACGTGAATCTGCTGGCTTCCAACAAAAGGATGCAGCACAGACACACCAGCCGCAAATTGTTAAAACTAACAACTTCCTAAAGAAAGGTGTGGGTTTTATTTAAACATAATTATATAACTTCTGAAATAAAGATTCAAAAGAATAATAGAAGGTATTTTGAAATGAATTGCTTAATGAATCCACCTCTGGATAAATGCCTGTAATGCCTTGTTTAAGGCAGTTTGTCTAAACAGTTTTCCTTTCGTATTATTAATATTCAACTGCTATTTAATTCTTGCCAAATCCAGTCAAACAGTAAACTCTCAGATAATAACTAATAGTCTCTATAATCTACTTAGCTGATGTCGACCTGCTTTAAAACACAGCATGAAGCAATTTCTTTACTAGGAGTAAAAAAAATTTAATTAAATATGATTCTTCCCTTAACAAAGTACAAAGAAGTATCAAGCTACTGTGCAGTGTGATGAACCTCTTGGGATGAAAAACACTATTCTATAACAGTGATTTACTCCTGATTATGATGCCTTATTACAGCCGGATTGCATTTATGTAAGCATAAACATAGAAAACCACATGTGTCCCATATTACAGGTTACATGTGCAGACAGAAAGAATGTCTGCAAGAACAGTGAGGTCTGTGTCTGGTTGTTACCAACAGAGCTAGGAAGAGAATTAAAAACAAAGCTTGGATGAGGAGGAACAGATTAAGAGGCTGGGGAGTCTCGTGCATTGTACAGGCTGGTTTGGGGGCACAAGGAGATAGGAGAGGCCTTGGGGGTGGCGGGTTAGTGTAAGCAGCTGAACTTGATAAATCTTGTGGCTGTAAACCTTTATTTTCCCAAAGGAAATCTGTTGTAATGAAACCTGGGGTATTCTGTGTTTTCACCCCTTTGCACGGAGACCCCAGAAAACCAGACAAGAGGGAACAGGGGGTGGGGAAATCTAGCAGTTTATAATAATATCCTTTTCTTTAGAAATATGCAATATACTTGATGGCATCACGTCATTGTCTTGCAAGATATGCTCCTCCTGGATGAGTCTGTGGCAGCGATTTTAGCATCCATATTTGTTGTTGAATTTTAAGCAATCCCTCACACAGAGCATGCATGCATTGAGGAGGAAAAACTCCTTTAACCAGGTAGAACCAGGATCAGTGTGAGCGATGACGACGCGGGTTCAAGGAGACAGAAACAGCCATACAAAAATAAGCAAATATGCACAAGGTAATTGTTAAATAGATCCACTCATGGCCCAGTCCAGGAAAGACACAGCGAGGCAGACAAGCTCTAAGCAAGGTCTGACATCAAAGGATAATAGAGAGCACATACAGTTAGTGACAGTATAAGAAACAAGACTACACTAAAATAATACATCAAACTCCAACATCTATTAACAAAGGTGTTGTTGGCACAAGCCCAGCTGATATTTCAATCCAGGGTGGAGTCACAGTCAAACAGGAACGGACCAGATGATGCTACTATAAGCAGAGAGAACAGAAAGTTATGCGCTGAACAAACAGATACTGCAGATTAGGAGAATAGAGATGGAATGAAGCAGAATGGTGGAAAGTGTTTCCTATGTCCTCCAGCAGCCTATAATATAGCAGCATAAATATAGAAAATAGCTCAGGATAACCTAACTGTTTTGGATTAGGGAATAGACTTATAGACTAACAGAAGAATTGCACAGTACAACTATGGATCAACTACAGCTGTCTGATCAACTTTATTGGCAGACATGTAAAAGCACCATTAGAGTAATTCATTTTACAATTCTACTAAAGTTGATGTATGAATTATTTCTCAATGTCCTACTTACAAATCACTTTGAGGGACAGTGTGCTGCTAATAAGAACATATAGGGGTACAGGGATATAAGAAACTCACTTAGAGGCAGATTCTTTCTTTTAAAATCCTTGGTGAAAATAGAACCTGGTGACAGAAACGGGGTCAGAGCTGAGATATTGGAATTAGGGGGAGGTAAAAGAGGGGGAAATGAGATTCAGCAGCCAGATGACAAAAATCTGGTCAGACATTATTTATAATGTATGGCTTGACTCAGGAAACATGGAAGGTCAGGAGAATCCTGGTGGTGTATAGTAGTTAGAGTTATATGGTCACCGGGTTCACAATCTTTGAGATGGGAAAGGAAGTGCCAAATTGTGGTTCTCCATCCAGACATTCTGGCAGACCTCGCAGGAATTTGATGATGATTACCATTTTTACCCTGCACTCCAGACATCTTGATCATGGCTCTTCTAGCCTTCCTCCAAACTCAGCAGATGGCCTCCCTCTCCTGGAACACGAACACCAGTGGCTGAAACCCATTGACAATTTAAAAGGGCAAGAGGCCAGTGGTGCTAGAAGGTGGGGAATTGATTGCTTGCTCTACCAAGGGGAGGTTGTTAGACCACTTAGAAGGATCAGATGAACACAGGATGCAAATATTGGTCTCAATCGTTTAGTTTACCCTTTTCAAGTTTGGCCATCAGACTGGAGGTGGAAACCGGAGGACATACTGACAGAAATGCCTAACAATGAGTAGAACTCTCTCCAGCATTTGGGAAATAAACTGGGGTCTAAGGTCTGACACAAGGTCTAATGGAATCCCATGGAGAGGAAAAATCTCCTTGGCCAAGAATTTACCCTTCCCTTTGGTGGAAAGGAGGTTCTTCAGGGGAATGAGCTGAACCATTTTAGAAAATCTTTTAGCAATGGTAAGAATGGCAGTCAAAGAGGACAAACCTGTGATGAAATACATAGAGAGACGGGACCAAGGGTAAGTCAGAACAGGAAGTAACTGTAAAAAAAAATCTGAGGGTTTGCAATGAGATGGCTTGGTCTAGTGACAGTGAGGTCATAAGAAAACAAACCACTTAATGTCCTTGGTCAGGGTATACCCTTCAAAAATGGGAAAGAACATCTTGAATGGGCAAGAATGGGCGATTATTTGGGAAGAAGAAAGGGATGTTTGCGGGTGGTGGCCCCACACTTCTTCCCAAGGGCGTAGGAATATGTTTACTACTGGGGGGGACACATGTCGGAAATCTGAGATTCGTATTCAACAGAAACATATCTTAAGTATGCTACTTAAAAAAAAGGCTATTTAATCTTTTACTTTATTCCTTTATAAATGTGTCTTGCAAAAATAATGCATTTAAAATTTACATAATGCATTTGTTCATAAGATGTGAGCATATCACCAAACAAAATGACTGGAGTCTTTTATTAAGCAAAGGGAGATGTCTTTCAAGGGCTTCAACCCTTAGCATATTTAGTGTCTGCATAACACTAGAAAATCAAATATTTCAGTTTGATTAAAAACAATTCACTAAGCCACACATGTGCAAAGTTTGATATGTTTTATTTTGTCAAACTTGCAATAATGGTCAAAAATGAATTTATATAGGTTGACTGACAGAGGGAGCTGACAGTATGTTGAAGAATTATGGACAGGGTGCTTTGAAGCATCTGGTTCAAAAACGCATTCTAAATCTTTGGTAGAAATTCATCCATCCTTCCATTTTCTGTACACCCTGTTCCTTAGTGGGGTCGGGAGGTGCTGGTGCGGGATACACCCTAGACAGGTGGCCAGTCTGTCCAGACCTTTGGTAGAAATGGCGCCTTTAATTCCAGTTTGCAGTACAGAACTGAGAAAACTACAGAGTTGTCAATGTTGTGTTAATCTGTTTATCGTCTAAAAAGAGGAGCCAGCAGTTTATTTGAGGAAATAAAGGTGCAGAAGTTAATTAGTTGGTTAATTAGTGGTTGTGCAGTGGACTGCTGCACAACCAATGCGACCGCCGCTGCTAAGAATTAAAATTAATTCTCCCTGTGGTTTTAACTAACGATCAGGAGCGCGGCAGGTATAACATCTGTCAATTTCGGCGAATCAAAACCACGCAAAAAATAAAAAAATCCTCGTAAAACTCACGCCCAGACCGGGCTAATTTCAACACAAGTTGTGTTAGGTGACTGTTACTCACACTGACGTTTCTCTTTTTAAAGTAAGTCCTACTGCTGTTTCAGCCTTTTAGTTGGTGGTGGCATTGTACTGAAATGAGATATATAAAAAAAAAAAACATTTTGGCTAGCGTGGCAAACGTCTAGAGAAAGTTAGCAGTTAAATATTGGATGAGTGATCATCCCAAGACTACGGAAGAGGATTAGGGCCACTGAAAAAAAAAAAAAAAGTTAAGTGATTTTTAAATTTCATTTCAGTTTAATACGGGAAAAAGGTCAGAATTCTGACTTTTTTTTCTCAGAATTCTGACTTTAATCTCAGAATTTTGGATCTTAATGTAGATGGTCACCATGAAGGCAGAGATGTGGGAGCACTCAGCTTCACTGACAAAGATGTGAGTTGTTTGAGGTGGCCAGTGACACATTGGTGGAAAATGACGGAATTAGGCAACTTTTTACGTGCCCGTGGGGTCCCCTCATTAATGGAGGAGCAGAAGGTCATTAAAACAAGAAAGCTAGTCTCTAAA